ATTACACTCAATAACATAAGGTAGACGCGAAATTTTACAAAGTTATGACCTAACAGGTATGAAAGTGCATACACCATTTCAAAGGATCGACATGCACTTCGAGAAATGGTCAGAATTCACTTGGTTTGAAAATTTGGGAAACCGAATTTCCTTTGAAAAATAAGCTCACCTTTTTCACAAATGCGTCCTCCTCAAACAGAAGCTGACTCTGAGTGAAATCGCAAATTGGTGTCCGAAGCACACGTCTATCCCTACCAGCACTATACATGAACGAGAACGAGGTGTCTGTCTGAAATATCTGTTGATTCAATGCCCCTATTAAAACATGAACACCAACAACTAGAAGAATGAGATTGTAAATGAAGGAAACGTTTGAACTTTACCGCACCTGTAATGTCCAAACGCCTTCCTGATGAGCGAGACAAGTGGCAATACATCGCTGCTGACCCAAATCCCAGAGCCTGACTGTTGCATCTGCACTGGCCGATAAACACTAGATCAGAAGGACAAGATTTGATTTCATTCTTATTTCTCAGAAGTGCTCTATGTGACGAATTTATGCGTATTTTCTATGCCTATGAGTTAGGAACAGACTCATTGCTTCTTTCAATAACATTAATTTAGCAAGTCAATAATTTTGTGGTGAGAAAAACACAACAGCTCCCAGCAATTTACCTTTGTTCCATCTGGGCTGACAACAATAGCTCGTATATTCTCCGTGTGCCCACGCAGCTTCATGATTTTTTGGCACGTTCGTGGATCCCAGATTCGAAGTACCTAAAAGACACCATCGTTGATTAGAATATAGTCATTTGGAAGCGCGAGGAGGGGAAGAGTGGCCGATCGGAGCTGTTCTTTGATACGGACTATCAGAAAGCAAGGTGTTGTGTTCAAACCCCCAATTAAAAGTTATCGTGCAATCACTTAACAAAAATCTTAGCTATTTCGAAATTCCAAGGAGATTTGCTCGAATGGCATTCTATGCCATTCAGTAGGCGAAATCGCCAAGCAGCAGTCGAAACAACAAGCGAAATGTTTGGAAACTATTGTGAGGATGATTGCGAGGAAACGAATTGAACGTAAAAAGTGTTGGGACCCACACAGTAAAATATGATAACGCGTCTTGCAGATGACTCAATGATTATAGTTGTGATTATTTTTATCTTGACGATGTTCACAATCAACCCAATTAGCTAGTCTATTCAACCATTACTCGCTCTTTACGTTTACCTCACCAATTATATAATTTATTTCCCTTACATGACCCCTCATCATATTTTACTCCGCTGATCGAAGTATTTCCAGCGCTCGATTCATTTTCAACATTTATGATTGCAAAGATCTTCGAACATTTCGGCATGTTGCTTCGTCTGCTGCTTGAGAAGTTCGTATTCCTCATGAACGACGTAGGATATTGGTCAGGTAAATCGCTTTGCAATCTCGAAGGAACCCGAGCTATAGTGTTCACTTGATTGATTGTAAGAGAATGTTGGGGAGTTAGTCAAACCAACACCTTGCTATTCGATGGCCTACATCACTAGCCACTCGCTCACCCTCTCTCACTATCGAATCTATAGTTCAGGATATCTATATCTTTACCTTCTAAAGATATCAAAACAATGCAAGCACAAGCAATGCTGAGAAAAATTCGTTGTATTATACGCTTTTCAGGTGCATCACATCCAGCTATATTCACCTATTAGAAAATAACGAAAATATTTCAGAAACTTGGTAACTTCATTGTGAAAACATTTAGCATTCCACCAAGTACAAGAGCGAAAATGAGAGTTTTACAGCTTATTTAAGAGAAGATCGTGGAAGTTATACCTTTTCAGTGCTTCCCGAGATAATTACCGTTCCCGAGTCGTTCATCGCCAAAGCATAGATGCTATTTTTGCAACCCATTAAGGATGAGGCTGAAACTACGATGATGTAATTTCAAAAATTGACTCGAGATTGAAATCGCTATTGACCAACAAAACTCTGCGCTATCACAAGGACGGCTGGTATAGTCTTAGCGTAAGAGAACTCAGAACGAGGTCTCACTCTCTAACAATTTAAGGACAGAAAAAAGTCCCCTGAAGCTTGAAGTCGTCAAAACATTCGATATTATAAGGTACAAATTTGCTAGCAATTTCGCAGCAGCTAGTAGATAAAATATGTTTCAATGTCCGTCACTTACTTGTAACAGTGTTATTAGTGGTAGTCAGTTTTTTCAGAGTAGCGATATCCCACAGATAGACAGCCTGGTCATAACCTGCACTAGCAGCACGCTCGTGCTCCTTCGCATATGCCAAACAACTAACATAATCCTACAAGAAAACTGGAAAATTAACACAGTACTATTGATCTGTACTAAAATCATGACTATACTTTGTGAGTACGCAAAGTTGACATGCAGAAATACTTAGTAGCGTTCCATACTTTGACAGTAGTGTCATTGGAGGCCGATAATACTAAAACCAGATAACATGAACTGGAAAACTTGGAGTGAGAACAAAACATGTTCGTCTCATCCAACGCACAAAACCGTCCATTGCCACATAAGATCATATCATTGATCCAATCTGTATGGTGTTCCATTGCTTGCATAAATGTAGCATGTTGCGGTGATGGAGCTCCAGTGTTTGATATATTGTTGCTACGATACGAAGGCCACGCTTCCTAGAGAAAATCGGATCATCAATGAATTACAAAGTTTTTCAAAAGTAAAAAAGAAACTAAAAAATAAAGTCCAGAAGACAGAAGTTTTAGTGCACTCGCTGGAGTTACTTGAAAATCGGGACGACAGGTAACAAAGGTAACACACTCCAGAAATGTCTTATTTGCATATCTTCGATAAACTCTACGCATAATATTCCATATTGAGCGAGGCGCGTGTGGTGCAATACATATAGGTACCCTGCGATCCGCACATGGTCAAAGATTCATTCCCGCGCTCAGGTCCTATCAAACCTTCCACACCATGTGACCAGTAAATTGGTACCAGACTTATCTAAGATGGTGGCAGTACTGACCTAATGCATCGGAAGGCCATCGCGAGTCACTGTAAAGGCAGTATTTGCACCTTTAAAGATGCTTGGCGAGGTCGACTACATGGCGAATCTTTAAGGAATTGATCAACTGTACGTTTGTGCGTGTTTTTTACCTCGCTATAAACATTCATTATAGTCTGTAAAAGATATCTGAAGCCTCACCGAGCTTGTTAGGTCAGATCTATACGCGTTTCGGAGGTATCGCCACTTATCAGTAGCCCACGCCCCACACTGAACCCTACTCTACAACAAGGATGTGGAGATATATGTGGTGATAGCACTTGATATTGTGCATGATATCCGAAACGCGTATGGCTCTGACGCAAGAACCTCGGTAAGGCTTCGAACATTTTTACACACTATTGTGAATGTTGAGCAGTTCACTGCCCTAGTGCCGACCATCGGAAGAACGTTGCTGATTCGATCCCCTCCTATGACGCTTCACAGCACTTATTTTTCTGTGCGTGTTTTTCAGCTCGATATGAACCATATCACTAACACACTGTATCTCATATTGCGACTCGGTAACACAAGCGATTACTCACCCATAGCATTTATTGCAAGAAGTAGTGATTTGTATGACAGCTGCGTGTTTTATTGCTATGACGACGTCCATAGAACCCTCAGTGCTAACCGACACCAATAATAACACCAAAAATTTGCTGTACAGCATCGTGGTAGATCAAATCAGCAACTTTCTTCCCGATAGCAGGCATCACTAACCACTCGGCACTTCGGGCTGCTCACCGCCGCGCGCGGCTGCGAAGCTGGGCTAGCTACGTGGCCTTGTCGTACCCAGAGGGTTAATGAAGCTTTCTTATATCCTTCACGCACGAAATCAAAAAAATACCAGTAGACCGTATTTGATATATGTTAGGAATAATGAATATACAATTACCTTCGTTCCAGCCGTTGGAACTTTCCATAAACGAATGATTGTATCATTGCCAGCCGAGAATAAACGACCCGTTGTTGCATCGTATTGAAGTGCGGAGACAGCTGCTCGATGACGGTGCTCGTTTTCGTCGCGAATTATGAAAGATACCTGCAATTTCATGAAGACCTTCATAAACGACACAATATAGTATCCAAGTGAGAAAGTTCAAATTAGAAGTGTTTGTATGATATGCCTGATAATCATTTTTTTAAGCCACGCATGTCAGTGGTCTATCAAAGAGGGCTGACTTATAGAGCCCGATACACGTGTTTCGATCTTACGATCTCGTCAGTCGGACAGTTACCTTTTAAAGCGTTCGTCGTCGTTAATTCTTAGTGTGGGGACTGGAGCACCCAGACAGGATTGGCAAAAGACGAGAAAGGGTAACTGCACGACTGACGAGATCGCAAGATCAACACACGTGTATCGGGCTCTATAAGTCAGCCCTCTTTGATAGAGCACTGACATGCGTGGCTCGAAAAATGATTATCAGGCATATTGAAATCTGAGCTGTGGTCTTAAGAAAAGACTCGAAACGAAAGATATGTTTGTATGATGCACTGCAATGTGAATGAACATTTGAGATTCCCAACAAGCCTTTGGTGGCAAAAAATAATCAACCACAAAACTGAATGTGCTTAATATGAAAGAGAACACGGAGAATTCAACTGTATACGGATAACCATAGCAACTATGGGAACGAGAATTGAAATCTCACCTTCATTTTCGGTTTTCCTGCTCCATTGCACGCCATTTTCACATAAGTGACAGCACTGTGTAGGACAGAAAACGTTACATGAAAATCTCCTCTTCGGTGGTGTAGATCTCACCTGGATGAAATTCACTAACTTGACAGCATTCAACTAAAACTGTAGGATATACGGATTATCAATTGGCGGCGATAGTTCTAACAACTGTACCTTAGTATTGCAAGTGCTTCCCTTATGAACAGAAGCGAGGTGTTGACAGCACGATTAACTGCACAAAAGCCGATACACCTAAGAGAATGAGTGGTGAGCAGAAATTCGAGCACCAGGCAGGAGTCGAACCCACGTTTCGCCCATAGCGGAGGCGCGTGCTACAACCACACCACTGGGACAGCGTTTCACTACCACTCATTCTTCAATGTCTCACTATAGCTATCAGCTAACAACCTTTCACAGGTTTGGTCGCCTTAGCTATATCGCTTTATAAACCCGATTAAGCTGACAGCCATTGTTATATGCAATACTGAAGATTTCTAATGTTTTCGCAGCTTTTTTTCACTTTTATCATAATTATACCTTTATCTCGAGTGCTTTGTTTAGACCACGCTCAAATTTCAATATTTCCCTTCATCATTATTTGAGCCAACATGTCATGTGGTCTGGTAAGGGCTCTTGTACAGCCCGAGACACGTGTTTCGTCCTTACAGACTCATCAGCCGAGCAGAACCCGTCGTCTGTCGGTCTTTTCATAGTCGACGGGTTCTGCCCGGCTGATGAGTCTGTAAGGACGAAACACGTGTCTCGGGCTGTACAAGAGCCCTTACCAGACCACATGACATGTTGGCTCAAATAATGATGAAAGGATATATTGAAATTCTTTCACTTTGTTATTATGTTCCGAATGTACCTCAGCAAGCAATACACAAGCTAATACATGAAGATAACGGCTGACGTTCCGCCGTGTAGCTTTCTCCAGAGCCTGGAAGGGTTAAATTGACTCACAACTACTCAGGCAAATACTTCAGCAACTCAGCAGAAAACGTAACAAGGAAATTTCCACTTGTTGAAGACTAGGAAAACAACAGCAGAAATTGCTTATCACGTTCCCTCTGTTTTGATACTGTACTTGACTGAGTGGACTGTGAGTCAATCAAACCTTCACAGGAGCTAAGGAAGGCGATACCCTTCTAACGTCAGACACTTTTTACTATATCAACCCCTTCGGCACCATCGACTCACGGTCACTATAACTCTATCTGACAACGCTGGAAGGTTTGCTTCAGCTCTTCTGCAGCACTAAGTCCCAGCGTACTATGTCCAACAATGGCAGGCGGGGACGAGCGAAGGGTATGGGGGGGGGGGGGGGGGGGTCAGAGATGAAGAAGAGGTGGAGCACACTGCTCAGCGTTGTCAAAGTAGACATGACGAGCGTGGGTTCACAGTCCCATGAAGGTTCAATTACATTCAGTAACGTCTACTATTAACAAGCTCGCTTCTGCTCATCAAAAGAAGCTTGGATTATCGAAGCCGAGGTCAATCATGAGTCGGCATAGAAATTGCATCTTAATAGTTAATTTCCACCTAATATCGTAATACTCAGCGTGAATAGGTAGCGTACAGGTGCGTTCTTTGAAGAAACCATAGTAAAAAAAAAAAGAATTAAGCGGTCATAGCCCGGGTTAACAGACAAAGCTCCAAGTACCAAGTGATTAAATTTACTGGTTACATATACAACATGGAAACACGCTTCTACACATTCATGTCACAAAGAAATAAATACTGAGGTGATTATCCACTCATATACATAACAACAACAAACAAAACAACATCAGGGAATTCATGACATTCTTTTTTCGTATTTGAAGCTTGAATATGAACAATAGCACAAAGATTGTTTTAGAAATTCATAAATATAACAAGGGGCTACTGATAGACAACGAATTCGAAAATATCAGAAAAGATGAGAGGAAACAAGGAAATAAAGAAGTGTATGTCAATGAAGCATTTGTTTTACGCTGCAAATAACACTCTACAGAATCTAAAACAAGGACGACGTTACACGATGTTTCGAGATAAAATTTTTCGAAAGATTATCTACAACTAGAAAACGAATAAAACGAACAACCAGACAAATTCTGTTTCGGGAATATGGATCCATGTGAAAATTTCAATTAAAACTATCTTCACGATCGGCCATTGCAATACCTAATGGGTCCTCGAACGTCTAAAGCGAGAGCAATCAGTGAAATAATCAAACAATAATGTAGTTCCAAAAAGTCGCCAAACAATAAAAACTACTTCACTTAAACATGCGCTTTAGAACGATTAACACTAACCTTAAAATTATGGAAGTGTACAGGCCTATGATCTTCATGGTAATATTCCTTTGGATTCGCAAGACAAACGTCGTATTTCATCGACTGCGCCCATCGCTGACCTGATTTTGAAATTAGTAAGTAAATAACTCTCTTCGAAACACTACCTGAGTTCTCACTGTGGGAAAAGAGAAACAAAAGGTTACCTAGAACTCCTTCTTCAAAATTTCCGTTAACTTTTAATTAAAGGGATTAAACGTGAACAGAGAAAAAAGTGCTAGGCATGTTCCATGTGAATAATCATTCAAACTACAGCTAGCTTCATAACACATGTGCGACAACATGACCGACGGCGAATCTGGTCACACATCTGATCAAATCGCTCAAAATACTATGATCATCAGATCAGTATTTATTTGGCGCTCAGTAATAAGTAAAGGCGCAAGAAACCAATTCGTTGAGATTATCAATTATCCCTGCCCTAACGTATGCAGCAGAAACGTGGTCGCTACGTAAGCAGGATAAAAAATCACTTGGCGTTATTGAACGCGCAGTCGAAAGGTCGATCTAGGCCCGTATTTCGCAAATGAGAGAAAGGATCCGAAGTTCCGACCTACGTCAACAGTCAAAATTCAGAGACGCCGTTCTACACGTCAGGATATCGAAAATAAGGTGGAAAGGACATGTGATGCGCTTCAACGACAACTGATGGACGAGAGCCGTTACCGACTGGATTCGTCGGGACGTCAAGCGCTCTAAAGGAAGACCACTGACCCGTTGGTCCGATTCTTCACGAAAGCGATAGAATAAAGATATGATGCTCAGCGAATCCCTAGAGCGAGGAGGACCCACTGGGCTACTCTTGCACGCGATAGGGAAAAATGGCAGAGTTGCTGTACCCGCTCGAGTCACTCGACGATCAACGGGACCACAGGTGATACAGGTGACAGGTGATCATTCTACCACACCTGTTATAAAATTTGGGCCCACTAATTGGCACATGCATTGAAATCGGCAAATACGGGATGGATCGTCCAAAATGTGTATGACTATCACAGAAGTTATGTGTCACGATAGCGCTAAAATACTGAAAACAAAAAGTACCCTGGAAATTGTAGTTCCATACACCACCGCTTGGTACCATGAAGTAGCCAAGGAACCTGTCGGATAATAACATCTGCACCTTTTCATAGTGCGTTGGCATGTAACCCTAAACATGCTACTTGACTAGAAGTAGTATCACGACAACAAAGACGTAAATATACAAAAACTGTCCACTATGTAATGTATGTACATGTGCAGATACACGTACACATACATATACGTGTATACGTGTGTACATACATAAACGTACATACGTATGTCTACATATGTATATACATATATGTATAAACGTATATATGTACGCACATGTATACCACAACAAAAAAAAAACTATTACCTTAGGATTATTTCCACGATCAGTGTTCGATCGACCCCATTCATATCCTGATGGTGTCAGCTTGTAAGCAGTCAATGACACAGATCCAGGAGTAAAACTGAGATTAAAGTAGGACATGATGGGACAAAAAACAAAAAAAAAAACCTTAGGTAACTGTGAATACAGAAATTTCGTCATTTAAAATGAAACTGCCTATGCTGACTATTACCTGCATGTAATGATTACAGTCTTCTCACCATCCCAACTAGCGTTTTCAGAAAGTATTCTGGCATGAGAAGTCACGTCTTGAGGTGACAACTGTGGCAACTCATTTGGTTGAGTGTGCATCCTAAAATGAACCATTTTCTTCTAAGCATGTAAGAATCCCAAGTTGTAGAGAAAATCAGACAAATCCGAATATAACGAAAACAAAACAAAGGCAACCATGTGGTATTAACTTACCACCCAAGAGGTTCAAAGTCCTTTAGTAGTTCATGTTGGGGCAAATTGGTTGGGAACTGTACTTGCTGATGATTTCCTGTTTGTGGCACCAATACCACACACCGAATTTCTTTAACTTGCGGATTATCTGCTGGTGAGATACCATAGAGAAAACCTCCAATCTGTAAAAAAATTTTCAACAAAATTTTTTCAAAAAACTTTCATTATTCAACCACGACATGGAGCAATTGATATACTTTTCGCTAATATTTTTTAATTTACACGTGGTTGATAAAGATTCTAATTCGGCTGTTATTTCGACGTCTTCGTCTTTCTTAGAACCAATGGATCGTAGTCTCGAAACAACTCGAAACGGCTGTGGACAATTGACTCTGCCCTGAGAAAGCGAAGACGTCGAAACATAGTAAACAAAAATTGTTCTTGAACAAAATTGAAAACCTGAAGAGTCAAAATTAATAGCATCGTAAAATACCTGAGTTCGCAAGTCTGAGATAGTGATAAACTTTTTCAAAATATTCTTGGGTAAGATGTACGTAAATCCTGTGTCCTTTACGTCGTCTGAGCTCACGTAGATATGCTGAGTTCTAGAAATGACCGCTGTGTATTTAGCTGTAGACAGTTTGAACTCAACAAAGCCACAAAGTCATACACACTGAGAACACCCCTTAATACGTTAAAGAAAACACTATTGCTAAATTACCTTAAGTGCAAATTTGTAGCAGATATGGCACGTATTCGCCACTCCGTGCGACTGGCAAACGTAGCCGCTTCATAGTTAGAAGTAGTGGCAGTAATGATTTCGTCTCCGTGTTTGTTCACTGTCCGAGTAGTAGTAGCTGTCACCTTGAAGTTTCAAACACTGATCTATTTCACTTATAATTTCGGATGCTGTACCAACAACAAAACCGTAAACAAAAAATTACAAGTGCAATAAGTGAACCGGTACACTAATTTGAGTGAAAAAATTTCACAAGGTAGAATTTGTTCAAATCGTCACCTGGCTTTGCTCCTTTGTCTGTTTTTCGATGTCGGCAATTTGTTGGCGCTGTTGACTTGGAGCACTGATTTCCATACCAAGAATGATATCGCGTACTTCAGACTGCGTCAACGAGGCAACATTCACATTATTCTTCTTGCCATAATCGGCCAGAATCATGTCTTTCAGAGCAAGTTCGACCTACGGAGAAGTTGAGTA